TTCGTTTTTAAATAGTTTTGTAAATTTTATAACTATTTCCTTTTTGTTTTATATTGTTATTTGGAAGATTTTAAAAAGGAAATAATAATATTTAAATATATTTTTAATTCATTAGGGGTATCATAGTAATCAACCAGCGTGAAAGTTAACGTGAGTGCGACACCTAAGAAAGTGACTTCTCAAATAATATTATAGAGATGCTTAATCTATTTATGGTTAATCAGGACTTGAAAAAAAAAACCTTGAAGAACTAGGGCTTCTGGGATAGCTTGGAAGATCAAGTTCATCGCCGAGTTGTTCTTGTCTATCTCGTCCGTTTCATTCTCCACAACCTCCCACACTTTATGGACCTTAAGCAGGATCTTCATGCGTATTGCCCACACAGTGTAGTTGGTGTTGTAAAGCATCGGGATATTGACTGCAGTCGTCCCTCCATCTTTTGGCTTCACCACGATTACTGTTGTAATATCTCCCATGATCGTTTCTTCTTGTAGCTCTGATACCAAATGTCGTTTGTATGATTGTGTATGAACTCGTAAATAAAGAACTCACTTTATTAACTCTTAAGGAAAATATCTCAAAAACCTTAATCTCTCAATCACAATCTCTAAAACTCTTAGAAGGTATGCAACACTCTTGCAACTCTTATATAGATATATTTTAACCTAAACTCATTAGGATATATAAACATAAATCTAATCCTAATATTCTTAGGATTTATCCAACTTGACTCTCAAGTTAACTTCATGTTTATCTCCAACACTTTTATGTTTACAGATGGATTTGACATCATCATTTGATTGAGAAACCATAACAAAAAAAGATGAATCTGAAGCTGTTAACGATCGTTTGTATTTTCATTGTGGAATCACTCCCTCGAAATAGTTGTAATGAAGCAAGTTCGATTATTAAACAAATTTTAGGCCTCGGTTAGGCCCACAATTTTTGGTATATATATGAATGTAGCTAGGGTTGCCATCTACCTTTCCTGAGTTTGTTTAGGAGGCAGAGTAAGTCATGGGAATGGATCGGGCCAGGTATGGACGATGGCGTTGTCATCCACCTTCCCGTTTTCGATCCCAACGTCTCTCACTCTATAGTATTGAGTTCCATCGAAAGAGGTTTTTGATACTTATTAATTAATTTTGTTAGCAGTATATATATATTAGATCTATATGAATGGTGATGGTTCTTGTTGCCGCCCAGATTGGCCAAACTACGTGAAGTCTCTCAAGTCTCGTTGGAGATCCAATCAGATAAGATTCTGAAGGGAACTGATCAGGATCAGACCACTCTTGTCTCCGGAATTGATATTCAGGTTCTATAATCTATTCTTTCTTTTTTTGTTTGGTCGAGAAATTCGTAAGTTCTATTATTATTAATCACTATGATAATTATAACAGGGAAAGTTGTCGTCTGATGTTGTTACTAGCACCTCCAAGCCTCAGACACCATCATCAAGGTGTCTTGTTTGTTTTTGATTAGTCTCTCTCTCTCTCTCTTAGAATTATATATTGGTGGTATTTGTTGTTAACATTATGTATGGTTGTTGTTGTTGCTAATGTTATACAGTTTGGTCGGGATGAAGAAAACACTAGGTTCTCAAGTCTCGTTGCTACGTTGTTCTGCCTGTAAGCAAATAATCCAGTCTGATAAGAGTCTAAAGGGATCTTCTGACCAGGATCAGACCACTCTTGTCTCTGAAATTGATATTCAGGTTTTATAAAATCTACATCTTCTTTTTATTTTGGTTTAGAAGTATTCATTACTTTGATTATTACTTACAGCGCCATTTATGTATGACAGGAAAAGTTGTCGTCTGGCATCGTTAGTAGCACCTCCAAGCCTCGTAAAGGTGTCGTCTATTTGTTTTTATTATCAATAATGTGTGTGTACATGCATATGGTCGTTGTCGCTCACATTATGTTTTCTTTTCTTGCACTACTATGCATAGGTAAGCGTTTCCGATTTAGTTCAAAGATGCCCAAAGTTTTTCAAAAGAAGAAGAAGAAGAAGAAGAAGAAGAAGAAGAGCTCACGCAGAGAAGCTGTATCTAAGTTACCACAACTATCTATTTATAGTTAATCAGGACTTCAAAAAAAAAACCTTTCATTTAAGTTGTATATTTGATTTTGTGAAATCCTTGTCATGATAATGTGCTCGTTGTCTTTTTATCCTTGTAAAAAAAATTGCTAGTCATTAATTTGGTCATTTCACTGATCCACAGCCTCGCAAAAGAACATAAACAAAACATTAATGTCAAGTGGCAAAGCTACACAATTTAGTTGGGGACTTGGTTATATGTAATTTTTATGTTAAACAAAACAAAAATATGATGCTGTTCTTGTGATCGAGAAACAGCCGAGAGTGCAAGTTGAGAAATGGAGAAGGTTGAATACTTGAATATCTCACTCCCGTAACCTCGTCCCTTGAAACGATCGGGGCAACGGTACCCTTTCTCGCCAAAATCGCCTCAGTAGCCTTATTAAAGGCTTCCATCGGATCCTCTTCGATCTCCTCCACCGAACCACCTGGTTAAAACAAAGTCAGTCAACATCGGTCAGAGGAAACAACCAGAGAAGAAGGTTGAACAATATCAAATAAGAAGGCTTACTCTGTATCCTGCTGCAACGTAACACAGTGGGATTAAGGAGATAAGCCACCTGACGCCATGCAAGAGGAAGGGCCTGGGCTCTAAGGACGTTGCCTTCCCCGCCTGTGCGGACCGGGTGGGTTCCACCTAAAAGAGAAAACGGAAGAAACAAAAGAAAACTGATTAAACAAACCCCATCATCGCCTAAGAGTGTCATCTTCTCCTACCTACGAAGCTCCATCGATAATGGGAACTAGGAAGGGTCATGAATACATATCTTTCCTGCCATCTCTTCACGAAGGACAGGTCCTTACGGTCATTTTTCGGAAGTTCCTCTACGATGAGAAGACCACTGCGCGACTGAAGGTGAAAGTGGCCTTCTCCAATGTTGATAGGAGCAAGATGATAGGAAAACAACACTTCGTCAACGCTTAAGGGAAGACATTCTTCGTCGCTCAAATTTTGAATGGCTATGAGGATACACCAGGTAGGAGGATTGAATTGGGAAGGAGAGATCTGGAAAAAAGCCGCAAAGATCTGTAATTAACGACGGTATATTTTTTCTGAAGCCAGACTCAAAGAAAGCTTCATAAATAGAAATATCATCCGGTCTACCCATAGAAGCACGTTTAGATGAATCGGGAACGCGGAGAACGAAGGAGGAAGAATGCAGATAGTACTTTTGCCATTTGACCAAATCATCCCCTTTCAACGACGATGTGGGGCCCACCATCAGAGAAGGTTGAAAACGTAAGTTAGAGGATTCGTGGCTAGAAGCTCTGATTCGTCATAAGGATCCGAGGAACTATCCGACTTAGACATCGGGAATCCACTCTTCTCTTCAAACTCGATTTTTCAGCCGTCAAAGGAATTGAAGAACCTGAGTGTTTCGACATAACGAAGTTGTTCTCTAAATAACGAAGCACAAACAAACAAAAGTGAAAGACTGATCTACAAAAACGAAGACGAAGAAAACTCCTCAACTTAAGAAGATAAAGAAAAAGAGAAAAAAAAGAGGATTACTTGGAAGACCATGGTGAAATCTCGCATTGGTTTTACTCATAGAAATGGGAGAATATTTAAAGACACCATAGTTACTATCTTCTCAAAGAAGTCGCCACCCCCGAATCTCAAGCAAAGAATAAGATCCGGTTTTTAAATGCGAATTCAAAATAAGAATCCCACCACCTAGGGATTCGGTATAACGGGTGTGATACAGACGCGGATGTGAGAAAGGAAAGAAGATCTGACCAAATCAATCACCCCAGGAAAGTTACCCATAACAGAATTCGAGGAATTCGTCACCGACCAATAGTCATATACCAGATCACCACTTTGCACAACCAATTCCAAGCAGGCTCAGGCCCTAAAGATATATATTGGATACCATTTTACCAAGGGGAAAGTGATTCACTCCAGGTCCCAAGCACGGTTCCGACCTAACCAGGACCTGGGAGATTGAGCGTCTAGAGTGATGCCTTACTCAAGGGGAATCTGCTGAGATAAAGCGACTACGGTCAACCTAGACACACTTTATCCCTCAATTCCAATGATGAAATCAAGCAATAAAGAACAAACTGTTGGGAAAAAAATATCCAGACACCAGATTCCTCTAGCTTTCGGGCTGGGCACCGGCCTCTAAACCCCTGCTTCGAAGGAACCCAGGACTCGGACCCTGCATCCAAGTTCCCAGGGCCCAACCCCTGCTCCAAAACCGACCTCCGGGTAAAATGGAAGTTCTCCACCTAGGAAATTATTTCATATTTATCAATATGGAAGGGTTTAACCTAATACAGCCGACATCTACACCTGTAAAAGGGGAGCCCAAACCCTAGAATAAGGGATCGACACCTTAGAGATTGAGAGACTAGATCTAGGCGGCTAGAATTAGGGTTCCTACACCAAAAACATTGTAGTCCCCTCTGATTAATCAATAAAACGTCTTCTTCTCTATTGTTTCTTTTCGTTTTATACAAATCTCCTAGTGTTCCGTAGTACTAAAACGACCCTACACAAAAATACCATAACATATATAACATCAAATTTAACAAAATAAAGTTATTTAGTTATATAAAAATTATATATCTTATATATTAAAACAGAAGTCATGACTTGACTTCATGTGTGATTTTTTAATTTTGGACTTATTTCTAGAAAAGAGAGTTATATTAAATTCTCTAATCTTATCATTATTATATCTTATGAAAAATCATATCTATAATAACAAACATACGCTTAAAAATTTGGTTTGGGTAAATTATCTCACACCTTCCAATTTAGTCACACAAAATATGTCAATAGATATAAGTTTAGGAATCTTCTATTATTTATAAGGAAATATGTCAATAATAGTTAAATGCCTACACGATATATTAACAAAAATCACAGATTCGTAATATGGAATATTTATATATATATGGAATAGATTTAACAGAATGGTTAGAATATATATATACCTTTGAATTAATTTGTTGATATGTCTTTTAAAAAATATGACATGACATCAACCTAATTGTAACATATACACTTTCCCTTATTAAGATTTATATATTTTTGACAAAAAATCTAAATTGGTAATGATTAATAATTATTATATTATCATTAAAATTTTTTTTATAAATATTTTTTTTGACAAGACTTTAGAATATATTATTAATAACTAATAATTCATATATATCATTAAACAAAATATATATATCACATTAATACAAATAAACTAAATATAATTACAAATAATTCCTTCAACTTATATATCATATTTTGTATAAAATATATAAAGCATCAAAATTAAAAAAAAAAAACTAAAGCAATACTTATCAGATAAAAGTTTTTTGATATTTAAATGATTAAATTTTATTACGTTAACATATTTGAACAAAAACAAACAAAACTCCAAAACTTATTAGAATTTATATATTTAAAAAATATTAAAATTATATATTTAAAGTAAATAATCCTTAAATATAATATAATATAATATAATATACATATAAAACTATTTTTATAAAGTATAATTTTAAATCTATTTAAATATAAATAAAATCAAACAAAAAGAGCTAAATAAAATAAAAACATATAAAAAACACTTATGGCTCTTTCAAATCAGTAAATTAAAATAAATAATAGTGTCAAAATGTAAACTAAATTTAAAAATCAAATAATGTTATATTTTTTTTTTTTACCAGGAAAACTCCTAGTTTAAAGTTAAGTAGAAAATGGGGTCACGTGCCATTGCACATAACAGAAAGTAAAAATGATATTTAATTTATTAAAGTCATTTGAAATCAACATCAAAAATGACCGTAGTTTAATGGTTAGAATTCCACATTGTTGCCATGTAGACTGTAAAGTCTGAAACACATGGTAAATTACCTTGGGCAGCAAGGTCCAAGAGAGTTGGGAATTCCCTCAGATGCCAAGGAATTCCCTCAGTTGGCACCAGATAATGATCTCCATTAACGTGAACGTGTAAACGCTAAGACCGTTTGGCGTATAGCATGTTATTTATCAATGCGCAAAAGTGCTAATAGATACTAATATTGACAGGCTGATTAATCTTAAAACACAATCTGTGAAGCTTTCATGAGCGTGAGCTTAGCCATCTCCGTATCAAAGCCAAGGAATGCAGCCGTGCCAATGGCATCTGACACCGAAAGTTTAACTCGGTACTTGTCGCAGGGCAATAATTGGTTGTTACAGTTTCAATTCTGCAGCAAACATCAAAGCTAAAATAACTAATCTGAGCTCAGCCAGAGCGTTAGTTTCATTGCATGACGCACAAGTGAAGGAAGTCTCCTCTAGGGTCAGTTTCTTTGAACAGACAGCACAGCCAATATAACACCAACCCTCATCTAGGTCAATAGCAGACACTGTAGCCGTACAGAAAAACTCAATGACCTGAAAGGTTTAGGAATAAAGCAGACGTGGAAAGCATACTCTGGAGAGGAGACTCTATTTGAATATATTATACCTTACCTGTGGATCAGCAGTGATAATAAACTGGTTGAGCTCTGAAACGGTGAGTGGTTAATATTTTTTGGGAGTGGACGATCTTTGATGAAGACGCTGACTGGTTTGCTTCCACACCTGGCAATCTGTAAGGAGATGAGAATGGAGAGTTAGTGAAAGAAAAAGGAAACAGTGGTTAAAAATCATATTCGCTATCTCAATGTTTTCCTTCCATATCTGTTCTCAATATTAATGTTTAGATTTGTTTATTTTTTATAAAAAAAAGGGAATTCCTTAATGCAAATAAAAAATTCCAATAATATATCAATCAAAAGACTTCCGGATAATTACGAAATGCTAAACCGGGTAAACCAACCTAATGTAATTGGTCTTAATTTACATCTAACACATTAAGAACCAGACAGTAGCCAGATTCGCAGTGCACAAAAGAAAAAAATAATAGGCTCAATGGTAAACCGTGAAAAGTTTTCAAAGTATAATAAGAGGACTGGCCTGGAAAGCGCATATGTTCTTGCAGCTGTTC